CAACAAAAGTAGTCCTCATTTCTTATAGACACATGATTTCTCTAAACACTAAAACCCTCTAACATTTGTCAAGCTCTCCTACTTCACTAGCTCTGTGTTAAAGGGAACAGAGAAGAGAAATACATGGTTCCAGACAGTTGCTATTTCTTGTCTCTCTTGGCTACCTCTTTGCTGTTGTTAAAAATATCAACAAATATTCCCTGAAGTCAGAAATATGTTCATGTTTCAATTATTTCCATCTTCCACCTCACCATGAGAGAACACACCACTTTCTCTTCGAGTAACCTACTGTTCTGCACTTATAATAAAAGGACCATACTATCATAACCTTATTGTTATCCACCCCCTGGATGAATATCTTCTCTCATTTTCCAACTCCAAATATCAGAGGTAAATATAACACAATTTTGTTCAATAATCAAGACCATCCCTTGATGTGCTAATGTAATTTGTAAGTGCAAATGAACTGGTAATTTATTGCTTAAAAATAGAAGAGATCCAATCATATCTACTTCAATAGTTTGGAAAAAAAGGAATCTGACAGGCACTAGGGTATGAAATAAGTAATTAAAGTGAACTCAAGCATACTCTTATGTTATTCTCCAATAAACAAGTCATGTCTATTCCTGTAATCCTTAAAATGAGCATGCTGAAAGTTACAGGGGAGAGAAGGATTTGGGAAAAACACAGATAATTCATCTGACGAAAGAACTAGCAAGCCAGGTGCTATTATTTCTCTCTTAGGACATTATTGTCTTCCTTTGTATTGTGGTTCATTAAATGAGTAGACTATCTGTGGCTTTGAGAAGGAAAAATAATTTTTTAAAAATCATTTTCCTAATATTTTACCTTGATGATGAAACCAAACCTAAGGAACATTATTTCCATTCAATTAGTACCACATGCAGAGACAGGCGCTTGGTAATTTTTAGTTACTCATTTGCTTGATGCTTTTTCCAGCAATTTCAGTTGCAAAAGGATAACATCCATCTGTTTGAAAAGGTAACTGGTTAGCAACTAACTCCTTTAAAAATTTTTTACAACATATCCTCTTACCTTTCCAAAGTCAATCTCTACCAGCTTTAAAAATAAATATTCTAGCCAAATCTTGGATGAAATATATTTTAGATATGTGTTAGGTATGATGGATTGTCACACAACATTCACTCCTATCTCCTTCAGGTGTGCATCCCTCTATCTTTGAGGCTAGAAACCTATAAGCTGCATTTCCCAGAGTCCCTTGCAGCTAGGGTTCTGGGCACAGTGTTCTTCCAGGGAGATGAGCAGGGTAAGAAGGAAGGTGGAGAGCATCTAAGGAAAACATTTGCTTCCTTGTTTTTGTTGTTGGTAGCAATGTTCAGTCACTAGCTTCCTAGGGTGGAGAGGCATTTTGCAGCAGTCTCTCTGATCAATGGAACATAGCCCGAAAGGTGCACCCTTGATGTTAGCAGTTCTAGTGGTGGTTCTGATTCCCATCCCCCAGGCTGTGGCAATGACAGCAGCAACCCTGGGGGCCAATCAAGCTTGCTGCCTGGGAGCCAAGACATGAGGCTCAGGCCAGGTCCCCTCCTCTACTTTCAGTTGCAACCTTCATTCCAACCTTCTTGTGAGCACCTAATTCTCATATTCAACCCCTTCATGCTTGAAATAGTTAGGATAGTTTCCATTATCTGCAACTTGACGGAGAAGAAAGAGAAGGTAGAAATGAGCACATTCAATATAGCAAGATGGGACGTCACATCCCAGAAGAACCATGGAAGTGGCAAAGGTTGTGCCTATTTGACATTCGCAGTTACACCTTTAAGAACAAAAAGCTCAAAGGCTGCACCTTCCAGGACTACCCAAATCAGGACTAACAACCCTTTAGGGCCTAGGGTTGATGCCGAGACATATTAACAAAGGCTGGGAAATAATCGTCCGGACCCCTAGAGAGAAAAGAAGGGAGGATAGAAGGGAACAGGGAAAAGCAAAGAGAAGAAAACCACGCATATGTGTGAAGAGGACCATACACCAAACCCCTCAAGTGCCCATCTCCCCCCACCACCTCATCATCATCTCTAAAAACAACCACAGGTTACTTCTTTAACCTAGCTGAGTCAAAGGCCTGTCTAGGGTGGAGGAGATGCAAGTGTGACAGCCTCTGGCTCCCAAAGGACACTGGTTACTAAGAGTACAACATACTCTATACTCTATGCTATAGGAGTATTCAGTATACCCAGATGGGGAACTGAACCAGTGACCCATATATTCAGTTCTAGAGTCAATTAGGCAGCAACCTCTCTGCAGCCTCCAGGAGATGATATTTAGTCAACATATTCCTACTTCTTGTTATAAACCCCTCTTTATGACTGCTCACAATGTGCCAACTGTGTACTCAGCATTTTACACCTAGTCATTTGCTCCATAGCCACCTGGGGAGGTGTCATTATCTCCATTTCACAGACAAGGAAATGGCTCGGAGCTGGGCTTCAATCCAGGTGATCCAGTTCAAACTCTTAAAATGCTTTCTTTGAGTGGTTAGAAGTTTCTCTGGATGAGAAGTGAGTATCCAAAGTCAATGATGTTAACTCCTTTTGAAGACGTCTCCGCTAGGAGGTCTATGCAATGTACTTTCTCTATGGCATCAAGAGAAGTGAATCACAAAAGCTGAAGGACATTTAACTGGCCATTTGGCATCACTCTTCAGTCTGTCCTTAAATGAATTCTCCAGTTATCTTAATGCTTTCATGCCATTCTTTTCAGAAGAATTCCTAATTTATCTACAAGTGAAAACATAAGATTGCACAGACAAGTGCTGACAGCCTAATTTCAATAATGTATTATACCAGGGGCTTAATTGCAGTGAGAGCTTTCACTCAATTCCTGTTTAAAAATACAAATGAGAACTTTGACATGTAGTAAACACAGGCATTTAATTGCATTTTGCTCTCAACATTATGAGCCTGTATAGTGCCAAGTATGTCTTGCTTGTGTCTTCTTTAAAGCAATGATAGAGTCTTCTTCATAAATCTGTTTCAAATTGTGGAGACTAGTTCTCTAAAGGAGCATATAAATTCTTTACAAGTGAAATGCATTTAAGCATCCACATATCCACCTATCAGAAATACTATAAGGTCTGGTCTCTTCTTTACAACCCTTGCAATCTCCAGTAAGATATGGCTGTCAAAGATACACATACACAGAGATTTAAGATATACTGGGAAGATCCCTGCTCCCATTGACCTTCCAATTTAAGGCAGAGTTAACTATCCACACAGGGTATTCCCAATTTCACATCCCTCTGGTAAGTAAAATTTTATTAAAACCTTTGAACTACCTTGGAACTTTTTCCATATTAAGATATACACGCAAAACGGCACATTTCCAAAGGACATGATTACGGCAATTGAATCTTTCTAGAAAAAAAAATTTCTTTGGAGTTAGAAAAAGAGTGTATACAAAGCTCCCTTCTCAAATCTGATCAAATGCGTTAATAAAGCAGCAGTTCTTTGGCATAATTTCCTCAGTGACAAGATATGTCCCAACTTCTCAAGGTCTCCTTCAAATAAGTTATAGGTAACCAATGACCATCTGACAGCCACTTCATTCTCCTAAGTGATCTTGCTATGAGCAACTCTAAGGCACCACTCTTAATACTGGACAGTTCTTTACCCTGTATTTACCTTCAGCCAGTCATCAAGGACAGAGAAAGCTCCAACTCTCCCTTCCCCAAACTTCAAACAAGTTAACCATTCATTAGCTAAAAGATAAAGGCTTCCGAGGTGGGTGGATCATTTGAGGTCAGGAGTTTGAGACCAGCCTGGCCCACAAGGTGAAACCCCCTCTCTGCTAAAAATACAAAAACAAAAAAAAAAAATTAGCTGGGCATGGTGGTTTGCACCTGTAATCCCAGCTACTGGGGAGGCTGAGGCGGGAGAATCGCTTGAACTCAGGAGACAGAGGTTGTAGTGAGCCAAGATCGCATCACTGCACCCCAGCCTGGGCGACAGAGTGAGGCTCCATCTCAAACACAAACAAAGAAACAAACAAATAAATAATAAAAAATAGAAAGATAAAGGCTTCCATTTGCTGATGTCACATGAATAATAGCACTTTTAGTTGCTGAAACAGGGTTAAATGCCAATGGTTAGCTGTAATATTACCAAAATCTTAACCTAAAACAGTGTAGATATATTTTAGCTCTTTCTACACACTAAATTTTCAATGTACATTTAAATTCATGCCCACCACCTAACATAAAGCTCTGCAAGTAGACGTTTACAGCCTTATCTTCTTTCTACATAGAGCACTGTGGGCTCACATCATTTATCACAAAGAACCCAGGTAATTATAAAAAGACCCAGCCGGGCCCCATCCCAGCACTTTGGGAGGCCGATGTGAGCGGATCACGAGGTAAGGAGTTGGAGACCAGCCTGACCAACATGTTGAAACCCCGTCTCTATTAAAAACACAAAAATTAGCCAGGCGTGGTGGCGGGTGCCTGTAATCCCAGCTACTTAGGAGGCTGAGGCAGGGGAATTGCTTGAACCCGGGAGGCGGAGATTGCAGTGAGCCGAGATCGTGCCATTGCACTACAGCCTGGGTGACAGAGAGAGACTCCGTCAAACAAACAAACAAACAAATCCCACACATAGCAAATAATATCATACAAATCCTTACCTTCCTATTTTGGCATTCCTTCTTAAACTGTATTTTCATCGTGAGTTTTGAAAACTTTCTGGCTTCAAGTTATCTTAGTTCTTTGCCTCTTACTAATTAAAAATCAGTTCCCCAGGGAAAGATACACGTGCACTCCATGAAAAAATACGAATCCATTTTAACCTTTAAGGCACTAGACATGTTCTTTATCTCTGAATTCTGATTTATCTGATCTCACACCCAAAGCACATCCCTCAATCCCTTACGGCATGGCAGTCTCGCCTCTTTTGATCGTATCTAAGTTTGCAAGGTAAACAGGCCACCCTGGGCTACCGAAACGCAGGGGAGGACCAGGAACTCACCCAGGCGGCCGGACCCGGGCGCGGGCTCCGGAGCACGCGCTAGATGACTTGTCGCGCCCCCTCCTCCCCGCGGGCGGGCGCCGAGGCGGCGGATCTAGGGTGGAACAGAGGCTTCTCTCCGCTCCCCTCTGCAGACCATTGTCAGCGCCCGAGTCGCCGGCGCTTTCTGCACGGTGTGGGGACGGACAGCAGCTCTCCCGATGCGAGTAGTCACATTGCTGTCCCGCAGCCAGGGGCAAAAGCTGCTTTTGCATCAGAGCCGAGGGCTGCACCAGGTGTAACTTCCACCCCTTGACCTATTTTAGAGTGTGAGGATGAAAGGAAGAGGAAAAAATAGACGGAGGGCGCGCGGAGGAGCGGGCGGCAGGGTGCGCGCGTGGCCGTGGGGGAGCGCGCGCGCGGGCCCGGGCTAGTGTAGGGGCTTCCAAAGAGAAGTTGCAGCGAGCCCCTGCCTCCCGCGCCTGGGCCCGCTCGGGGGTGCTTTGCTAGCCGCTCCTCCCGCCTCAGCCGCAGGCCAGCTTGGTCCGCCCTACTCCGGCGCCCCGCGCGGGAAGCGCAGCTCCCGGGGATCCGGGGCTTTGGGCTGGCCCCGCGACAGCCGCGGGGAGACCGCCAGCGGCCCCCGCCCCAGTCGCCGTCCCCGCCTCCCCGGGCTGCCTTCACCTTTCGGGAGGCGGCGCTCCGGTTCAGCTGTCCCGGAACCCAGGCCTGCGGCGCCTCCGGGCAGGGAAGGCGGGCTGGCGGGCGGCGGAGCCGGGGACTGTCGCCTCCCCGCTTCGTTCCCTGCAATCGCCCCGCCCGAACGTGCCCGGGAAGTGAGGCTGGGCCGCGCCCGCCCGGCCGGGGACAGGGGTGACCTTCCGGCCTCCCGCCTTGCCCTTGTTGGCGATGTCTCTTGGCGTGGCCCGTCCTGCGTAGAAGACGCCCCGGCAGGCGCACCTGGTCGGCCCGAAGCGCATCAGCGTAGTACCTGGGGTGACGGCGACGTGTGACTTTAGCGAGGCTTTTCTCACTTAATTTTTACAGCCCCGGACTTCAGCGGAAATGCCCCCTTGGGGTCGGTCCATTGGGATAACTGGAGATGGGGGATTAAGTAGGGTGCCACGGCTTAGACGCTCCAAATCATTCCAGTACACAGCATGACTTATCTGTTGAGTTTTGCAAAACAAGCCCCATCAAAAAAGCATCCATCAAAAGGCGGGTGGAACTTATAAGTTTTTGCCCAAAACTGGACACAAACCTTCCCTCCCCCCATTGCTTCTGTTACAATAGCGTTAATTACTTTCTTCCAAGTCCCTAACGTGATAATATCTCCAACCGCCTATTATTAAACAACTCCCTTATCATCAGGGACCTATGCACTTTAACAATGCACGTTCCCAGTGACGAAAAACGAGCACGTTTAGTAACCGCTCTGCCGCCCTTGGTATAGAGGTTCGTGCTCCTGATCCCCTGCCTAGGGGGCAGAGTTCATGTCGAGCTGTTTTTTCCAGTCCAGGTTATTTATGGGTACCCAACTACAGGTCTCACATAGACACTGGTCTATAACAGGTTATTTGTGGGGACCCAACTACAGGTCTCACATAGACGCTGGACTATTTCAGGTGCTACTAAGAGGGTTGGTGGAGATCAGCATATAGTTTCTGATTCTGGAATGGTTTTCTAGTGCCACAGTATATTGAGTGGGGTAGAGTGGGGGAACATTTGTTTGGGCTTCTCTTTATCGTCATGCCCTGGATAATCAGATTGACATTTTCTTTTTCTGTAAAGGCCTCACATTCAAAAAGAAAGAAAGAAAAAAATAAAATAAAATAAAAAACACCACGAGTCTGGTATTCTTGAGCTGAACGCCAGCTACAGAAATGCAACTGCTCATCCTTTTGCTTCCATTCACTGGAGCTACAACTGCAATATGTCCTTGGACACAGAAGATGTGTTGGATACTGTGATGTTCCTTGTCCTCTTCTAACAGTGCATCAGGCGACAAAGTATACCTAAAGTATAGGATAGTGCCTGGCAAATAGTAGGACCTGATAAATACTTGTCCAGTGATTGAGCAACTGTGATAAACAGGAAAGTAACCTAGCTTAACTTTTGCAAGAAACCATGCGAGAAATCAGTTGTAGGTGACATTGTCTGGGAAGGCATCCTGGAAGTGGTGGCCGGTACCTGATTTAAATATTAAAAAATGGCTAAGGACTAGGTGGGGTGGCTCATGCCTGTTATTCCAGCACTTTGGGAGGCCGAGATGGGAGGATCGCTTGAGGCCAGGAGTTTGAGACCAGCCTGGGCAACATAGTGAAATTTCATTTCTGAAAGATATACAAAACATTAACTGGGCATGGTGGTGCATGCCTACAATCCCAGCCATTCAGGAGGCTGAGGCAGGAGGATCGCTTGAGCCCAGAAGTTTGAAGTTGCAGTGAGCTATGCTTGCACCACTGCATTCCAGCCTGGGTGATAGAGACCCAATCTCAAAATAAATAAATAAATAAATAAATACAATTAGGGAGTGGAAGTGAGATAGTATATTTGATATGCTTTCAAGATATAATAGAGGCAGAGATTCTTAACCTTTTGTAGGTAATAGGCCCCTATGAAAATGTTTATAGAAGCTTTGAAACCCCCTTATATAATAAACAAATGTGAAATATTTGCATATATTTTCTGAAAGTTCACAGACTGGCTGAAGCAGATGTGTAGAATTCCTAGAGACTCGTGAACTATGACATGAGTTACCAATGTCTTTCTTATTTGGAGGCAGGTAGAAAAACAAAGAGATTTTTCTAGTTGAGACCATCATAAGAGGCATTTCAATGACCACCAGTAGAATTTGGGTAATAGTTGTGGAAATGGAAAGAAAAATGTACTGTAAAGAAAATTTGTACACTAGAGAAACATAGCTAGACTTTTAAACCATTTATGTTCTTTTTGTACCTGAGAATTTCACTTTCATATCTCAGCAAAAAGGGGAAAGGAATAGATAAAAAAATGACTGTCAAAATATTGACAGTTGCTGATGCTGGGTGCACACGTGGGGCTTTATTGTATTATTCTCTCATTATTTGTGAGGTTTAGCATTTTTCATTTAAAAAAAATTTCAGTGGATTTTTACTCTTGGTAGTCATACCCAATCCTATAGCATTTCCTAACTTGGGTTCTTGGAATGGAGATTTTTGTATATAAAAAAAGAAAAAGAAAACAATACAAATAGGCCAGGGATGCCACATATAAGATTGTTATTAATAAGCAGAGTCTTTGTAGAACCATATGTTTTCTCTGAGGAAGAATTGTAAAGTGTGTTGGCCATAGTCTCAACATAAATTAGACAACTATGAAACACTGAACACGTGGTTTTCTGGTTTTTTTGTTTGTTTTTTGTTTTGTTTTGTTTAGTTTTTTGAAATGGAGTCTTGCTTTGTTGCCCAGGCTGGAGTGCAGTGGTGCCATCTCGGCACACTGCAAGCTCTGCCTCCCGGGTTTACGCCATTCTCCTGCCTCAGCCTCCCAAGTAGCTGGGACTACAGGGACCTGCCACCTCACCTGGCTAATTTTTTGTATTTTTAGTAGAGACGGGGTTTCAACCATGTTAGCCAGGATGGTCTTGATCTCCTGACCTTGTGATCCGCCTGCCTCGGCCTCCCAAAGTGCTGGGATTACAGGAGTGAGCCACCGCGCCCGGCCTTCTGTTTTTTTCTAACATTACACTCAACTTCATTGTATGTTGCTTAACTTTCTTTATCATTACATTTTATTATTATATCATGCATATAGTTTATATACTCATATATTATATATTCATATGCAATATAAATATATATATGCAATATGAATATATATTCATATGTAATATATATTTTATGTTTATATAATATAAATTATTGTATTATATGTCATATACATACATATATTTATATATAGCAATATATTTTATATATATTATATATACAGATGTTCCTTGCATTATATGGTTCGTTTACAATATTTCTACTTTATGATAATTTGAAAGCAATGCGTATTCACAAGAAGTCATACTTCTAGTACTCATACAACCATTGTCTTTCAATTTTTGTACAGAATTCAATAAATTACATGAGATATTCAACACTTTATTATAAAATAGGCTTTGTCTTAGATGGTTTTGCCCAAGTGCAGGCTAATGTAAGTGTTCTGAGCACATTTTAAGGGTAAGCTAAACCAAGCTATCATGTTCAGTAGGGTAGGTGTGTTAAATGCATTTTACAACACTTTCCATTTACAATGGGTTTATTAGGATGTAACCCCCCATCATAAGTCAAGGAGCATCAGTACTATATAATAGTATTATGACCTTTCTCAGTTAACTCAGTTTCTTTATTAGTCAACTGCCTGGGTCTGGCACACACCCCTTGAGGCTGCAGATGGCTGGCCATGATTCTCTGAGTGCCTGCCTTTCTCACTGCGTCCTTCTGAGCGAGGCAGCCCCAGTGCTTCCTTACACATAGGTACACAGAGGCTGCACACTTTCCAAATGTGACCAGTTCAGTCTAGCATGTCCTGTGGACTACAAGGCCGTTGCCTAGCAAAGCATGAAATTTCTCCAGCTTATGTAATAACTACTCCACACCTGAAGTCTCTTAAGGTGTGGCATTTAAGTCAGGAATTCACGTAAGTTCTTTTCCTAGAGCTTTTGACCATTATTTTACTTACCCTCATTGGCTATCACAGTCCTTCGCACTTAGAACTCAATGCACATATATGCATTAATATGCATGTATTGCCATAAGCCTCAAAATGTGCTGCATGATGCTCATGTTACCATTTCATTCATTTCAGCCTCAAAGGGCCTGGTCTAAGGTACAGGCTCTTAGCCATTGGGGATGCTTACCTATTATTAGCATAATGGAGACTTACCAAAAAATTACTGTATTTTTACCCTCTTTTCTCCACCTTTCCAAGTCATCCCATTTTTTTTTTAGTGATGTTAGCTAGTTTAGCAGAATAACATCTTGATGCATAAGGAAGTGGAACCCTCACCAGGCTGAATGGTAGAGCGGGCAAGCTTAGCTTCAGATTACAGGAAGAAATTGTGAGGTGTGCTCCAGTCTCCAGTCTCCCAAACTGATCTTTAGGACACTGGAGACAAAATATTCCAACAACAGGGGCAGACAAAGCTCAAGCTTTATGGCTTCATTAGTTTTAAAGGATTCCCCGCAGTGACCCAGTCAGACTGGACTGAGAATCAAAGAGTTCACAGCTACTTATTAGTCAGCACAATTTAGAGACAGGAGTGCTAACCAAGAGCTTTCCTTGTCATTTTGGGATGTTCATGGGCTGGAGTCCCAGTTGCCATCTCCTAAAACCTAAACCCTTCAGTTCTCCAGTGATTTTGCTGCCAGAGAGTGTGTAGCTGCTGCCTTTATCCAAGATAT